AGTGGGGGGAAATAAATGGGATTAAATCTGGAGTATCTGAGAGAGTTAGAGCAAAGGAAGGGGTAGCAGTAATGTTAAATGATCAGTTATGGAAGGAGAAAAGAGAATATGAATGTGTAAATTCAAGAATTATGTGGATTAAAGTAAAGGTTGGATGCGAGAAGTGGGTCATAATAAGCGTGTATGCACCTGGAGAAGAGAGGAATGCAGAGGAGAGAGAGAGATTTTGGAGATGTTAAGTGAATGTATAGGAGCCTTTGAACCAAGTGAGAGAGTAATTGTGGTAGGGGACTTGAATGCTAAAGTAGGAGAAACTTTTAGAGAGGGTGTGGTAGGTAAGTTTGGGGTGCCAGGTGTAAATGATAATGGGAGCCCTTTGATTGAACTTTTGTATAGAAAGGGGTTTAGTTATAGGTAATACATATTTTAAGAAAAAGAGGATAAATAAGTATACACGATATTGTGTAGGGCGAAATGACAGTAGTTTGTTGGATTATGTATTGGTAGATAAAAGACTGTTGAGTAGACTTCAGGATGTACATGTTTATAGAGGGGCCACAGATATATCAGATCACTTTCTAGTTGTAGCTACACTGAGAGTAAAAGGTAGATGGGATACAAGGAGAATAGAAGCATCAGGGAAGAGAGAGGTGAAGGTTTATAAACTAAAAGAGGAGGCAGTTAGGGTAAGATATAAACAGCTATTGGAGGATAGATGGGCTAATGAGAGCATAGGCAATGGGGTCGAAGAGGTATGGGGTAGGTTTAAAAATGTAGTGTTAGAGTGTTCAGCAGAAGTTTGTGGTTACAGGAAAGTGGGTGCAGGAGGGAAGAGGAGCGATTGGTGGAATGATGATGTAAAGAGAGTAGTAAGGGAGAAAAAGTTAGCATATGAGAAGTTTTTACAAAGTAGAAGTGATGCAAGGAGGGAAGAGTATATGGAGAAAAAGAGAGAAGTTAAGAGAGTGGTGAAGCAATGTAAAAAGAGAGCAAATGAGAGAGTGGGTGAGATGTTATCAACAAATTTTGTTGAAAATAAGAAAAAGTTTTGGAGTGAGATTAACAAGTTAAGAAAGCCTAGAGAACAAATGGATTTGTCAGTTAAAAATAGGAGAGGAGAGTTATTAAATGGAGAGTTAGAGGTATTGGGAAGATGGAAGGAATATTTTGAGGAATTGTTAAATGTTGATGAAGATAGGGAAGCTGTGATTTCGTGTATAGGGCAAGGAGGAATAACATCTTGTAGGAGTGAGGAAGAGCCAGTTGTGAGTGTGGGGGAAGTTCGTGAGGCAGTAGGTAAAATGAAAGGGGGTAAGGCAGCCGGGATTGATGGGATAAAGATAGAAATGTTAAAAGCAGGTGGGGATATAGTTTTGGAGTGGTTGGTGCAATTATTTAATAAATGTATGGAAGAAGGTAAGGTACCTAGGGATTGGCAGAGAGCATGCATAGTTCCTTTGTATAAAGGCAAAGGGATAAAAGAGAGTGCAAAAATTATAGGGGGATAAGTCTGTTGAGTGTACCTGGTAAAGTGTATGGTAGAGTTATAATTGAAAGAATTAAGAGTAAGACGGAGAATAGGATAGCAGATGAACAAGGAGGCTTTAGGAAAGGTAGGGGGTGTGTGGACCAGGTGTTTACAGTGAAACATATAAGTGAACAGTATTTAGATAAGGCTAAAGAGGTCTTTGTGGCATTTATGGATTTGGAAAAGGCGTATGACAGGGTGGATAGGGGGGCAATGTGGCAGATGTTGCAAGTGTATGGTGTAGGAGGTAGGTTACTGAAAGCAGTGAAGAGTTTTTACGAGGATAGTGAGGCTCAAGTTAGAGTATGTAGGAAAGAGGGAAATTTTTTCCCAGTAAAAGTAGGCCTTAGACAAGGATGTGTGATGTCACCGTGGTTGTTTAATATATTTATAGATGGGGTTGTAAGAGAAGTAAATGCGAGGGTCTTGGCAAGAGGCGTGGAGTTAAAAGATAAAGAATCACACACAAAGTGGGAGTTGTCACAGCTGCTCTTTGCTGATGACACTGTGCTCTTGGGAGATTCTGAAGAGAAGTTGCAGAGATTGGTGGATGAATTTGGTAGGGTGTGCAAAAGAAGAAAATTAAAGGTGAATACAGGAAAGAGTAAGGTTATGAGGATAACAAAAAGATTAGGTGATGAAAGATTGAATATCAGATTGGAGGGAGAGAGTATGGAGGAGGTGAACGTATTCAGATATTTGGGAGTGGACGTGTCAGCAGATGGGTCTATGAAAGATGAGGTGAATCATAGAATTGATGAGGGAAAAAGAGTGAGTGGTGCACTTAGGAGTCTGTGGAGACAAAGAACTTTGTCCTTGGAGGCAAAGAGGGGAATGTATGAGAGTATAGTTTTACCAACGCTCTTATATGGGTGTGAAGCGTGGGTGATGAATGTTGCAGCGAGGGGAAGGCTGGAGGCAGTGGAGATGTCATGTCTGAGGGCAATGTGTGGTGTGAATATAATGCAGAGAATTCGTAGTTTGGAAGTTAGGAGGAGGTGCGGGATTACCAAAACTGTTGTCCAGAGGGCTGAGGAAGGGTTGTGAGGTGGTTCGGACATGTAGAGAGAATGGAGCGAAACAGAATGACTTCAAGAGTGTATCAGTCTGTAGTGGAAGGAAGGCGGGGTAGGGGTCGGCCTAGGAAGGGTTGGAGGGAGGGGGGTAAAGGAGGTTTTGTGTGCGAGGGGCTTGGACTTCCAGCAGGCATGCGTGAGCGTGTTTGATAGGAGTGAATGGAGACAATGGTTTTTAATACTTGACGTGCTGTTGGAGTGTGAGCAAAGTAACATTTATGAAGGGATTCAGGGAAACCGGCAGGCCGGACTTGAGTCCTGGAGATGGGAAGTACAGTGCCTGCACTCTGAAGGAGGGGTGTTAATGTTGCAGTTTAAAAACTGTAGTGTAAAGCACCTTCTGGCAAGACAGTGATGGAGTGAATGATGGTGAAAGTTTTTCCTTTTCGGGCCACCCTGCCTTGGTGGGAATCGGCCGGTGTGATAATAAAAAAAAAAAAAAAAAATGTAATAGAAGGAAATTAAAAGTGAATATAGGAAAGAGCAAGGTGATGAGGGTAACAAAGATTAGGTGATGAAAGATTGGACATCAGATTGGAGGGAAAGAGTACAGAGGAGGTGAATGTATTCAGATATTTAGGAGTGGACATGTCAGCAGATAGGTCTATGAAGGATGAGGTGAATCATAGAACTGATGAGGGGAAAAGGGCGAGTGGTGCACTTAGGAGCCTGTGGAGACAAAGAACTTTGTCTGTGGAAGCAAAAAGGAGAATGTATGAGAGTACAGTTATGTCAACACTTATGTGAGTGTGAAGCATGGGTAATGAATGTTGCAACAGGGAGAAGGTTGGAGGCAGTGGAGATGTCATGTCTGAGGGCAATGTGTGATGTGAATATAATGCAGAGAATTCATAGTATGGAAATTAGGAAGAGGTGTGGGATTACCAAAACTATTATCCAGAGGGCTGAGGAGGGGTTGTCAAGGTGGTTCGGACATGCAGAGAGAATGGAACAAAACAGAATGACTCCACGAGTGTATAAATCTGTAGTGGAGGGAAGGCGGGATAGGAATCGGCCTAGGAAAGGTTGTAGGGAGGGGGTAAAGGAGGTTTTGTGTGCGAGGGGCTTGGACTTCCAGCAAGCATGCGCGAGCGTATTTGATAGGAGTGAATGGAGACAAATGGTTTTTAATATTTGACGTGCTGTTGAGTGTGAGCAAAGTAACATTTATGAAGGGATTTAGGGAAACCGGCAGGCCAAACTCGAGTCCTGGAGATAGGAAGTACAGTGTCTGCACTCTGAAGGAGGGGTGTTAATGTTGCAGTTTTATAACTGTAGTGTAATGCACCCCTCTGGCAAGACAGTGATGGAGTGAATGATGATGAAAGTTTTTCTTTTTCAGGCCACCCTGCCATGGTGGGAACGGGCTGATGTGTTAATAAAATAAATTGTTGAGACTGTGTTGGTTTCTAATGATTTTTTGAATAGTAATGCAATGGTTGGGTGAAAGCACATGAGCTGATCTCTTGAACAATATCAGTGGTACTTGTGCTCAGTAGGATTAGTTACAACCAGATAGAGGGAGTTCGGAAAACTTCCAAAAAAGGTAGACACTTGCTCGAGCATTGGTACTTGAGATTTTGCTAGCTAGATTTGATCCTATGGCAGAGGAGAAATCATTTAATGTACTGGTTGTTTCAGAGGACCTAGGATGAGTACAGTAACGAGCATTTCACCAAAGGCGCACAATGACTAAACTGCTGACATGAGCTTTTCAGGACTTGCCTGCCACGGGTTTGACCCTCACCTGGTCTGACTGTGTTGGGTTATTACAATTCTGTGAATCCTGCTTAAGTAAATGTCACTCAAATGTATTACAAGTATGTACTGCCAGTGTGGAACTTGCATGTGGTGAATGGCATCAAGAATAAAAGAGAGTAAGTGAAGAGGTTTGCATCGAGACCATTCGTGACGCAGAGGGATGGGGGTTAGGAGAATGCTAAAAAATTAAACAATGTAAAATGGAGAACTTTATAGTGGAGACATGAAAAAAGACTGCTTAGTAGGCAAGTCAGGTATACAGTATAGCGACAGGGGCATAGATAGCAGTTTAGAGAAATGAGCAATAAGAAATGTCAGGAAATATTTCTACAGCTTCAGAGTGATTTAGGTGAAGGAAGTAGACTATACACAACTAAGAATAAATAACAAGGCTTGTGAGATTCACAGGGAATGAACCCAGTAATTGCCAGTTAAGAAGTGGGTCCAGGAGCTAAGACTAAAAATGCAAGCACATATATAGACATTTAACAGTAAATCAATGTTCAAGTTACAATTAATTCAGTATACATGACATACGAGAAACAGTGTTTAAACAATTTTGATTAATAAAAAAGGAAGATGGAAGACCCATGGGAGAGAGGACAATTACAGACAAAATAACTCAAAATACATACTCTTCATGCGATAAAGGCTTGAAATCTGCAGGATTTTCAGGGTAAGCCTTCCTACAGGCCGGGCAAAGACCATTTTCATCTGTACGGATCCGATGCCAACAGAACCGACATATTTGGTAACCACAAGTACAAGGGAAGAAATTTAAATCGTCCATCTCCAGTGGCTCCATACACAGCGGGCATTCTACCATATCCTCGCTTAGGTTTAGCACCGACATTTTTAGTGATCCTATGTCTGATAGTGGATCACCTGAAAGAAAAATTAATCAATAACACTGGTTTTTCTAAAACTTAACCTTTTATATGGAGACCATCTAGGTATCTAATACCTACAGTACAGCCTCTCCTCACTTAGGAATTGAGTTCCGTTCCTAAGACCACGTTAAACGAATTTGTCACTAAGTGAGGAGCATACTATAATGGTAGCGAGTTTATGTCGACCATCTTTGATATTGTTTTAATGTCACCTTTGCACCATTTAGAACATTTCTGGTATATTTTTAAATGTTTATACAGTAGTGTACTGTATATTGAAAAACAGAACAGAGGAAATCATCTCTAATATTTAGGTATGAATACATATTGGTCAGAGAGCCTGTTGCGAGTCTGAGGCATTGGTAAACGAGTACATCACTAAGTGAGGAGAGGCTATATATACTTTAGCATGAGACTTTAAAAATTTGGATTTTTACTGGAATATTCTTGCATTACTTGTGTAATTTTCAATGATACACTATTTAAGAGAGAACTGTACATAATTACATTGAGGTTTAACAGTATAATGAGACCAAATACCACAAGTTATTTATAAATTTCTAGAAGTCAACACAAGATGGACTTCAAGAACAGTAACAGTACACATTCTGTAAATATTTGCCATACAAAAAACCTGCATCCTTCTTAAAATAGTGACTATCAGAGGAAAGAAAAATATATTCTTGCCTAGAACATCATGCTAAGTTAGTCAAATCTACACTTCATAATTTCTTACACATGCAGCATTTTAAATAACACACTTCAAACAAATATTACCTTCTTTAAACGGGAGGTAGCAGCTGACCGAGGGTTTATGAAAATTTGTTACGACAATATTTTGAAACTGCTCTAAGAACGTGCCTGTCACTTAATTACAGGGAGCAGAGTAGAAGGCCTGTAAAACAATAAATCTGAATCACTTTAATAGAAGGCCACACAAAGTAAAGTTCCTACTATCAGTGTTGAGCTAAAATGAAAAGTGCCATAGAAGACAGGGTTATAATGTATGGGTTATGAGAGCATCACCCCACAGCATGGACTTTTACTAAACCTTCTAAACTGGAAAGAAAACATAATACGAATTACAAACATAAGAATTTGCACACGGTTAAATAGAGACTGTAGAGTACAATATATGAAACATCAGGGTGGTAGTTTCACAAAATGGGTGTTGAAATATCCTGTACAGCATAGGATTCTACTCAAGAATTTATATTAAACATGCAACAAGTACATGCATTGGAAACCTCATGATTTAACATGAGGTTATATAATGCTGCTCCAAAACTGAAATGGATAGCAAGTGGCAAGGTTCAGCAAACTGCAAAAGAACACACATTACTAAAGTACGAAGAGTGCCAAGTTAATGCCTTAGAATAATCGTATACAGCCTCTCATCACTTAACGACGGAGTTCCGTTCCTAAGTGTCTCAATCTTCATCTCCTAAGACCACGTCAGTAAACGAATTTGTTGCTAAGTGAGGAGCATACTATAATGGTAGTGGGTTTGAGTCAACCATCTCTGATATTGTTTTAATGTCACCTTTGCACCATTTATAACATTTCTGGGATATTTTTTACTTGTTTTTTATTTATTTAAAAAATATCCCAGAAATGTTATAAATGGTGCAAAGGTGACATTAAAACAATATCAAAGGTGAATGACACAAACCAACTACCATTATAGTATGCTCCTCACTTAGCAACAAATTCGTTTACTGGCGTGGTCTTAGGAACAGAACGCCGACGTTAAGTGAAGAAAGGCTGTACACAGCCTCTCCTCACTTAGCAATGTACTCGTTTACCGACGCCTCAGACTTACGGTGGGGTCTTTGACCAGTGTGCATTGTAATAAACAGAATAGAGGAAATCGGCTCTAGTATGCATCATTTACGTATGCATACTGGTCAGAGCAGATCGTAATTTCAAGGCGTCAGTGAACGAGTATGTCACAAAGTGAGGAGAGGATGGATGGATAGATATTTTTTTTTTTTTTTTAAACTAGCCATATCCCACCAAGGAAGGGTGACCTAAAAGTAAAAAAGAAAGTTTCTCTTTTCAAATTTAGTAATGTATAGGGGAGAATGGGTTACTAGCCCCTTGCTCCTGGCATTTTAGTCACCATTGCTTACAGAGGAAGAATTCTGTTCCACTTCCCCATTGAGGCTAGAGGAAATAAACAAGAACTAGAAAGAAAATAGAAAAACCTAGAGGGGTGTGTGTATATCTATATATATGCTTGTACATGCATGCGTGTGTGACCTAGTGTAAGTAAAAGTAGCAAGATGTACCTGAAATCTTGCATGTTTATGGGAAAAAAAAAAAAGACTAACAATCCTACTACAATGTAAAACAATGACAGGTTTCCATTTTACATTCACGTGGCAGGATGGTAGTACCTCCCTGGGTGGTTGCTGTTTACCAACCTACTACCTAGGTTACCAACCTATTTTGTATATATATGTACTGTACATAAGGTAATGAACATTGGGGGGGAGGGTTATCAGCAAGTCAAATAGTTTACAGAGGTGGAAATCTGGAAGCTAGCAGTATGAAGAGTTAAAGCTCATGCCATGTTATCAGAATGAAATTGAGCAAATGTCATGAAGGTTTAACCCTTTCAGGGTCGAGAGGCCCTCTCCTAAACTTGTTCTCGGGGTCAAAAGTTTTCAGAAAAAAAAAAAAAAAATCTTATGAAAAGATAAGAGAATCTTTTCCCAATCATAATGACACCAAAAGTATGAAATTTGATGGAAAACTTATGGAATTATGCTCTCGCGAAATTAGCGGTCTCGACGATGTTTACGCATCGGCGATTTCACCGACTGAGCCCTATTTTCGGCCAATTCCAGTGCACTAGTCGACAAAAATCGTAACTATTTTGCTAGAACTCTATTTTTTCTATCGAATGAGTACAAGAAACCACCCATTTACCAATTTCAACTATCCAATAAAGCGGTCAGAAATTAGCAATTTTGCCAATTTCACACAAACTTCAAAAGATGCCAATTTTCAAATAGGGTCCAGAATAAACAAGACAGACATTCCTGGCACTAAAATAACATTTCCTCTGTTCATTAGTCACGTCCTCAGGCCCCTCTTACATTTCGTTTGCTTTCCACTTTGAATTTTTATTCTCACAAAAAACAGATTTACTGTTATGTAGACTACTGCATTAGTGTTGATGTGTATTGGACGCGTGGCATGATTTGTTAACTTTTGAACTTTGGCAAAAATTTAACATTTCTGCTACTCTGAGCTCAATTTCAAGGTACCTTTCATTGTGAAACCAATCAAAGTCATCTCAATTTCTGTAATATGTCTTCCATTCTATAAAATGAGATCAGGAAAACTAGAATACAACCATAAATACCACACGAAAATACAGTGCAAATTCACCATTTTAAACCAAAAACACGGTCAAAGTTTTTTTTTTCTCATTACACACTGTGTTGCAGGATTTTTTTTATACTGTGCACACAGACCACATAGACCCATTCTTTCATATGTAGGCCTACCAGCTTTCTCTCGCTAGATTTGAAGGCACTAGAATTTAGGCATACTAGCACGTCAATAACCCTGGTGCGTAAGCCGTACTAGTACGTCGGAAACCCTGAAAGGGTTAATGTTCTGTATATATAGTAGACACAATAACACGAGTATGTCTCATATATTTAGCAAGTTCAGACTTTTGGAAAGTGGTGAGGTGTGCTGTCTAGCACAGGAGCTAGTAATCATCCACACAACTGCTTTTTGTTGGGTTATTAAAGGTTTAAGGTGGTTGGCTGTGGTTGATCCTCAGGCACAAATACCATAGGTGAGGTAGGGATATATTAACCCTTTGAGGGTTTCGGACGTACTAGTACGTCTTACGCGCAGGGGTTTTTGACGTACTAGTACGCATAAATTCTAGCACCGTCAAATCTCGCGGGAAAAGGCTGGTAGGCCTCCATATGAAAGAATGGGTCTATGTGGTCATTGTGCACAGTATAAAAAAAATCCTGCAGCACACAGTGCATAATGAGAAAAAAAAAATGTCACCATTTTTTTGGCATAAAACAGCGACTTTGCACTGTATTTTCGTATGGTATTTATTGTTGTATTCTAGTTTTCTTGGTCTCATTTTATAGAATGGAATGCATATCACAGAAATTGAGATGATTTTCACTGGTTTTACAATGAAAAGTACCTTGAAATTGAGCTCAAAGTAGCAGAAATGTTCGATTTTTACCAAAGTTCAAAAGTAAACAAATTATGCCAAGCGTCCAATACACGTCAACTGGTGAGTCTAACATTCTTTTGCAAGTGCGCCAATATGATTTATACCATTTTTTACACTAATGCAGTAGTCTGCATAACAGTAAATCTTCTATTTTTCGTGAGAATAAAAACTCAAAGTGGAAAGCAAAAGAATGTAAGAGGGGCCTTGAGACGTGACTAATGAACAGAAGAAATGTCATTTTATTGCCAGGAATGTATTTCTTGTTTGTTCTGGACCCTATTCGGAAATTGGCATTTTTTGAAATTTGTGTGAAATTGGCAAAATTGCTAAATTCTGACCACTGTACTGGATAGTTGAAAATGGTAAATGGGTGGTTTCTTGCACTCATTCAATAGAAAAAATGTAGTTCTAGCGAAATATTTATGTTTTTTGTAGACTAGTACAGAGGAATTAGCCGAAAATGGGGCTCAAATTGGGCAAAATCGCCGATGCATAAACATCGCAGAGACTGCTAACTTCGCGAGAGCATAATTCCGTAAGTTTTCCATCAAATCTCATAATTTTGGCGTCATTATGATCGGGAAAAGACTATTTTTTTTTTTTTTTTTTAATTTGGCCGACCCTGAGAAAGTGTTTCTGAGAGGGCCTGTCGACCCTCAAAGGGTTAAAGAGTGGTATAGGGTAAGGTATACTTATCTTACTCCATTTTATAGAAATAAAGTTTTTGTTTGATTTGTTTGTATACAAGCAAACATAAGAACAGCCCAAACTGATAATAGAAACTGTCCAACACAGGAAGTCACAACAACCTGATGAGATTTACCTATAAGCAAGCTTATTCAGGTATACACAAATACAGTTGCATAGATTATCATACACATCAGCATGTGTGTAGAGAACCCAAAATTACACAATCAAAGCTGCTCTTCCAATTGGTAAAACCTTTAGCTACAGATATATTGAATCCAGTATATCACTGAGAAGTGCCCACCACCCCCACTACTATTACAAGAACTATTAAAAATACTAATCAACACTGCAATGTGTGGGTACCAGTAGACATACTGCAGTGTTTTTCTATTTGCTAATATCTTGTGTGAACACTTGCCAAAGTTTTTCTCTACTAACAATAAATTGATCTACCACTAAGTATACTTTGTCAAACTTAATAAAGTATATTGTAGTGCAGGTGAAATGTTTAAATAAAAGGGTGTAATTAGTGGTCGTCTTCATCAAATACAATTATGTTCCCATACCATATAGTATTACAACACACACAGTAAATTGTCTTCCTTATTGTAATAAATTGTAATCGAGCGAGTAGCAAGATTTATTAACAATAAGAGTATAAATTATTGGTGTTTGATGCAGGAACTAAGAGCTTTCACCAGTAATATTAACAAGAATCTATAACCACCATTACAATAAACAAACCAATATCTTATATAATATAAACACACTTTTATCTTTCACAAATATAGCAAGAAGAGAAGACAGTAGCAGTCTAGTAGAATAATATTTCTAACCATCTTAAAAAGTTAGACAGCCCAGCCTAGGTGACCTTCACTAATGGTTGAAATGTTATTTAAAACCCTCTTCTGTGGCTTTTTTGGAGGTATATAAACCCTGCACGATTATTTGGGTCAATGCTAATGTAATAAAGGCCGTGGGTGCCCCGGTAGGCCTGATTTCCTACTAAAGACATGTTAACCGGAGCCAAACAGGGATCTAGATTAGACAGTTAGCCAGTTCTAACATATTTACCTTTAAACATAACAATACAATACTTTAGAGCCTTCTTACTATTTTTTAATGATAGCCAGTGATTAGCAGTAGAAGCCAAAACACCGCTAGCTCTGAGAATTACCTACGAGGATCGTAAGAAAAACACTCACCAGTAAAATAGGCAGAATATTTGCTGGCAAAATTAAGGTTGAGGAAACACACAAGATGTGCGCCTGCGCGAGCCTCCACCTCCCGGATGTTGACAACAAGTGAACAACGTTACTCACTAACTTGCTAACAAATACACTCACTCACTAACAAACTCACTAACTTGCTAACACACTCACTGACTAACTTGCTAAAAAACTCACTAACAAACTCACTAACTTGCCAACAAACTCACTAACTTGCTAACAAACTCACTAACAAATTCACTAACTTGCTAACAAACTCACTTGCTAACACACTAAGTTGCTAACAAACTTACTCATTTGCTAACAAACTCACTTGCTAACAAACCAACTAACTCACTTGCTGACAAACTCACTAATTAACTCCTTGCTAATGATGAGTGTAGCTACAGAAAGAGAAGAGAGTGATTTCTTGTGTATCTAACATACATGTAATCTGATCCTATCTTTAATATTAATGTATCTTTAATATTGATTTACATAACTTAATGTACCTTATCCCTAGTATATCTCTTTTTTTCCTTTTATTGAAACTGCTTTTCACATAGTTAAATCACTTGCCTGTTATTACTTTAAAGTTTAAACGACAATTACTACAAGAACCCCAGTTAAAATAAATCACTTTGTCTGACTTTTTGGTTTATCGTGGTGGGTAATGTACACATATGCTGCTGTGTATGATAATTTATGTAACTATTTATTTGTACCCATACCTGAATAAAAACTTACTCACTCTTACTCACTTGCTAACTAACCAGCTCACAGGTTAACTAACCAATGAACTCACTTGCTAACTAACCAACTGACTTGCTAACTAATCAACTAACTCACTTGCTAACTAACCAAGTAACTCGCTAACTCAACTAATTCATTTGCTGACCAACTCACTTGCTAAATCGCTCACTAGCTAACTAACCAACTTACTTGCTAACTAGCCAACTAACTCACTTGCTAATTAATTCACTTGTTAACTAACCAACTCACTTATTAACTCATTCACATGCTAATTAACTTGCTAACTAACTCACTTCTTAACTTGCTAACTCAATCACTTGCTAACTCACTTGCTAACTATTTAACTCACTTTCTAGCTACTAACTTGCTAACTACTAACTTGCTAACTCACTTGCTAACTAAACAACTAACTCACTTGCTAATCAACTAGCTCATTTTCTAATTAACTTATTCACTTGCTAACTAGCTAACTCACTTGCTAATTAACCAACTGTCTCACTTGCTAACCAGCTAACTCATTTGCTAATTAATTTATTCACTTGTTAACGCACTTGCTAACTAACTCCCTTGCTAACTAACTTGCTAATTCACTTGCTAACTCACTTCCTAACCAACTCACTTGCTAACTTCCTAACTCACTTCCTAACTCGTTAACTAGCACACTCACTTGCTAACTCACTTGCTAATTAACTTGCTGGCTAACTAACCAACTAACTCACTTGCTAACTAACTCACTCACTTGCTAACTCATTCACTTGCTAACTCATCCACTTGCTAACTAACTTATTTGCTAACTAACTTGCTAACTCACTTGCTAACTTGCACTCTCACTTGCTAGCTAACTCGCTAAATAACTCACTTGCTAACTTACTAGCATGCTAACCCACTTGCTAACTAACTTCTTGCTGACTCATTCACTTGCTAACTTACCTGTTAACTAACTCGCTAGCAAACTCATTTGCTAACTCACTTGCTAACTAACTCACTTCCTAACTCACTTATTAAAGAATTTACTTGCTAACTAGCTCACTACCTCACTCACTTGCTAACTAGCTCACTCACCAACTCACTTGCTAACTTACACATTCACATGCTAGCTAACTCACTTTGCTAAATAACTCACTTGCTAACTACTTGCTGACTCATTCACTTGCTAATTAACTCATTTGCTAACTTACCCGCTAACTAACTCGCTAGCAAACTCATTTCCTAACTCACTTCCTAACTAACTCACTTTTTAAAGAACTTTCTTGCTAACTAGCTCACTAACTCACTCGTTAACTAACTCACTTGCTAACTTGCTCACTCACCAACTCACTTGCGAACTCACTTTCTAACTAATTCATTAATTTATTGGCGACTCTGGTTGCCTGGTGGTTAAAGCTCTCGCTTCGCACGGCGAGGGCGTGGGTTCGATTCCCAGCCAGAGTAGAAAGATTGGGCGTGTTTTTTTTCCACCTGTTGTCTATGTTCCCCATCAGTAAAATGGGTACCTGGGTGTTAGTCGACTGGTGTGGGTCGCATCCTGGGACACTGACCTAATATACAAGTACAGTTAGAAACAGAAATACAAATAGCCAGATCTTCACTTTAAGGAGGTTATTATTAGAATATTCAATGGGTTACTAGTAGAATTACAGTAAATCAACCATTCAAATCACTTGAAATTCTGTGTAGTCTGCAGTAAATCAAGCAAACGGGCTTCCACATGGATTGCTTGCCATTTTTGTGAAAATTGGTGTCACGCCCTTTGTGCAGATATCCAAGAATTATCTACAAGCAGTATTAAATCAGGAAAGTGTTTTTGGGTATGCCCAAATGAGATTAATCTGTGGACTAAAATCACATTGGTATTAAAAGAGGATAACATCAAAGCAGCCTTCATAGAAAACCTGGAATCATTCTATAACAGATGGGAAAATAAAGTCTGGGCTGGATGGTATCGCCCTTGGTGCTGGCCATGTAGTCAGAAACGGTAAGGCTGGAAGTGCTGTCCTGGTAGACAGTAATGGTGAAGTTGGAGGTGATGTCCTGGGAGACAGTAACTGTATGCATGAGGGAATGCATATAAATGGCCTCGAGGGAGACAGGAGCTGTAGTGGGGAAACAAGTGTAGTCAAGGACAAGATAAAACCAATATTACAAACTAGTAATACCACAGGAGATAGCAAACAAGGGGACTCCACTAGCAATAGTGAGGATATATTAGAAACAACTGGTGAAAGCTCCATTGTTAGTACTAGTGAGGATGGGAATGAGACAGGTAAACATGCACCAACAGGGAATACAGTCACAAAAACCCAAGGCAAACGGAAACCAAGCCTGTGCACATACTATGCACTTGGTATCTGCAGGCATGGGAAATCTGGAAAAACAGATGGGACGTGCAACTTTGACCACCCTAGAAAATGCTGTGCCCATATGACAACAGGAAAATGTAAACTCCCTTCCTGTAAGCTTTTTCACCCTGAAATGTGTCCCTCTTCAGTACAGGAAAGACTGTGCTATAACTTAAATTGCCAGGCACACCATCTAAAGGGGACAAAAAGATACAAAATATCCAGGCCATGGGAAAACCTGGTTAGCCACAGCCACTCAAGAGGGAGAGGTTTTTTAGTGCCAAGATGGAAAAAAAACTGGCAGGAAATGGCAGAAATCATACGCCAAATCCAGTCATTTCTGGAGTGGAACCACAGTCGATGGCCTCCACTCCAAACCAACAGATACAGATACTAGTGCCGGAAAAAATAGTCCCCCCCAGTACCACCAATACCACCAGTCCGATGACACTCTTCTTTGCAAATATACAGGGTCTAAAGCCAGGAACGAACAACAAAATACCTTTCATCCGTGGACTGCTTGCAGAGTACTAACAGTACCAACAATACCACCAGTCCGATGACATTCTTCTTGGCAAATATACAGGGTCTAAAGCCAGCAACAAACAACAAAATACCTTTCATCCGTGGACTGCTTGCAGAGGCAAAGGCAATGTTCGCGGCTTTCACTGAGACCCACATAAAGGATCACTTAGACAACGAAATATGGATCCCAGGTTACAACCTATACAGATGTGACAGAGTGAACAGGCAAAAGGAGGGGGGGCGGGCCTATACATTGCAGAGTCACTTGTTTGCACAGAACTGCTTAATGCCTCAAATGATGTAGTGGAAGTTTTAGCAGTAAAGGTCGAGAACCAAAACCTAGTTATTGTGGTAGTCTACAAGCCTCCGGATGCAACATCCCAGCAATTCCAGGAACAGCTGTTAAAAATTGACCACTGTCTGGAAAATCTTCCAGCTCCTGCACCCAGCATCTTGCTCCTGGGGGATTTCAACTTAAGGCACCTAAAATGGAGGAATATAGCAAATAATATTGTTGCAGTAATAACACCAGGAGGCAGCTCTGATGAAAACTCACACTCACACGAGCTTTTAAATCTCTGCACAAAATTCAATTTAAACCAGCAAATAATAGAGCCTACTAGACTGGAGAATACACTAGACCTCATCTTCACTAACAATGATGATCTGATAAGAAAATGTCACCATGTCAAAAACAATATACTCAGATCACAACATAATTGAGGTTCAGACATGTATACGCAGAGCCCCAGACCGACAAAATGAGATTAGTCACGAGGGAGCATTCACCAAATTCAACTTCAATAACAAAAACATAAAGTGGGACCAAGTAAACCAAGTCCTAACCGATATAAGCTGGGAAGATATACTAAGCAACACGGACCCCAACTTATGCCTAGAACAGATTAACTTGGTGGCACTCGATGTATGCACAAGACTTATTCCTCTAAGAAAAAGGAGGAGTAGATGTAAAATAGAAAGAGACAGGCGCTCTCTTTACAGGCGACGGAAAAGAATAACAGAGCGGCTAAAAGAGGTCAATCTATCTGAAATGCGTAGGGAGACACTGGTCAGAGAAATAGCAAACATCGAACTTAAGCTAAAGGAATCTTTAGGAGTCAGGAATCGCGGGAAGAACTAAAAGCCATAAATGAAATCGAAAGAAACCCAAAGTATTTCTTCTCCTATGCCAAATCAAAGTCGAGAACAACGTCCAGTATTGGGCCCTTACTTAAACAAGATGGGTCCTACACAGATGACAGCAAGGAAATGAGTGAGCTACTCAAGTCCCAATATGACTCAGTTTTTAGCAAGCCACTAACCAGACTGAGAGTCGAAGATCAAAATTAATTTTTTATGAGAGAGCCACAAAATTTGATTAACACAAGCCTTTCTGATGTTATCCTGACGCCAAATGACTTCGAACAGGCGATAAATGACACGCCCATGCACTCTGCCCCAGGGCCAGACTCATGGAACTCCGTGTTCATCAAGAACTGCAAGAAGCCCCTATCACGAGCCTTTACCATCCTATGGAGAGGGAGCATGGACACGGGGGTCGTCCCACAGTTACTAAAAACAACAGACATAGCCCCACTCCACAAAGGGGGCAGTAAAGCAACAGCAAAGAACTACAGACCGATAGCACTAACATCCCATATCATAAAAATCTTTGAAAGAGTCCTAAGAAGCAAGATCACCACCCATCTAGAAACCCATCAGTTACACAACCCAGGGCAACATGGGTTTAGAACAGGTCGCCCCTGTCTGTCTCAACTATTGGATCACTACGACAAGGTCCTAGATGCACTAGCAGACAAAAAGAATGCAGATGTAATATATACAGACTTTGCAAAAGCCTTCGACAAGTGTGACCATGGCGTAATAGCGCACAAAATGCGTGCTAAAGGAATAACAGGAAAAGTCGGTCGATGGATCTATAATTTCCTCACTAACAGAAACACAGAGAGTAGTCGTCAACAGAGTAAAGTCCGAGGCAGCTACGGTGAAAAGCTCTGTTCCACAAGGCACAGTACTCGCTCCCATCTTGTTCCTCATCCTCATATCCGACATAGACAAGGATGTCAGCCACAGCACCGTGTCTTCCTTTGCAGATGACACCCGAATCTGCATGACAGTGTCTTCCATTGCTGACACTGCAAGGCTCCAGGCGGACATCAACCAAATCTTTCAGTGGGCTGCAGAAAACAATATGAAGTTCAACGATGAGAAATTTCAATTACTCAGATATGGTAAACATGAGGAAATTAAATCTTCATCAGAGTACAAAACAAATTCTGGCCACAAAATAGAGCAAAAACACCAACGTCAAAGACCTGGGAGTGATTATGTCGGAGGATCCCCACCTTCAAGGACCATAACATTGTATCGATCGCATCTGCTAGAAAAATGACAGGATGGATAATGAGAACCTTCAAAACTAGGGAGGCCAACCCCATGATGACACTCTTCAGGTCACTTGTTCTATCTAGGCTGGAATATTGCTGCACACTAACAGCACCTTTCAAGGCAGGTGAAATTTGGGCCGACCTAGAAAATGTACAGAGAACTTTCATGGCACGCATAACGAGATAAAACACCTCAATTACTGGGAGCGCTTGAGGTTCCTAAACCTGTATTCCCTGGAACGCAGGAGGGAGAGAAAATATGATTATATACACCTGGAAAATCCTAGAGGACTAGTACCGAACTTGCACACGAAAATCACTCACTACGAAAGCAAAAGACTTGGCAGACGATGCACCATCCCCCCAATGAAAAGCAGGGGTGTCACTAGCACGTTAAGAGACCATACAATAAGTGTCAGGGGCCCGAGACTGTTCAACTGCCTCCCAGCACACATTAAGGGGATTACCAACAGACCCCTGGCAGTCTTCAAGCTGGCACTGGACAAGCACCTAAAGTCAGTTCCTGATCAGCCGGGCTGTGGCTCGTACGTTGGTTTGCGTGCAGCCAGCAGCAACAGCTTGGTTGATCAGGCTCTGATCAATAAATAAATAACAAAAAGGCACAATACCGTGACTGGAACGATACACAAATAACCCGCACATAAAAGACAGAAGCTTACGACGACGTTTCGGTCCGACTTGGACCATTGACAAAGTCACCAGGAGGCCTGGTCACAGACCGGGCCGCGGGGGCGTTGACCCCCGGAACTCTCTCCAGGTAAACTTCAGGTAAACAGGGTGTATCAGGGAGATAAGATGTTTTCTGATGGTAGTTTTGAAGGTGATGAATGTGTCTGCAGTTTTAGAATTTTCAGGTAGGGTGTTCCAGATTTTAGGGCTTTTGACATACATTGAATTTTTGTAAAGGTTTAGTCGGACACGGGGAATGTCATAGAGATGTTTGTGTCTGGTATTGTGCCTGTGGGTTCTGTCGCAACTATCAAGAAAGCGTTTTAGGTCAAGGTTAATATTGGAATTTAAGGTCCTGTAGATGTAGATTGCACAGTAGTAAGTGTGGATGTACTGAACAGGGAGTAAGTTTAGATCTATGAAGAGTGGGGGGGGGGGGTGTTGCCAGGGATGGGATTTAGTGATTATTCTTACTGCGGCTTTTTGTTGGGTTATTATTGGCTTTAGGTGTGTTGCTGCAGTTGAACCCCAAGCACGTATAGCATAGGTGAGGTATGGATATATAAGTGAATGGTATAGTGTGAGAAGGGCAGTTTGCGGCACGTAGTATCGTATCTTGGAGAGGATCCCAACCGTTTTGGATACTTTTTTGGTTATGTGTTGGATATGGGTGCTGAAGTTCAGGTGTTTTCCAGGTCTTTTTTTATATCTCCTCTTGTGTCAGTGAATCTACTGGAGTAGTATAGTTGTTTGGCTTTCTTTATTACTTTGGTGAGGACTGATGAATAGTGTTTAAGAATAGGGGACTAAGTTGACTGAGTATACCAAGTAAAGTGTATGATAGGGTAATTATTGAAAGAATTAGAGGTAAGACAGAGAGCAGGATTGAAGACGAGCAAGGAGGCTTTAGAATGTGTAGGGGATGTGTAGTTCAGGTGTTTACATTGAAGCATATATGTAAACAATATTTAGATAAAGGTAGGGAAGTTTTCTTTGCATTTATGGATTTAGAAAAGGCATATGAAAGAGTGGATAAGGGAGCAATGTGGCAGATGCTGCAAGTATATGGAATAATTAGAACGTTACTAAATGCTGTAAAGAGCTTTTATGAGGATAGTGAGGCTCAGGTTAGGGTGTGTAGGAGAGAGGGAGTTTACTTCCTAGCAAAAGTAGGTCTTAGACAGGAATGTGTAATGTCACCATGGTTGTTTAACGTATTTATAGGTGGGGATGTAAGAGAAATAAATGCTAGGGTGTTGGGGAGAGGGGTGGAATTAAATTATGAGGAATCAAATATAAAAAGGGAGTTGACACAGTTACTTTTTGCTGATGATACTGTGCTTTTGGGGGATTCTAAAGAAATGTTGCAAAGGTTAGTGGACGAATTTGGGAGGGTGTGTAAAGGTAGAAAGATGAAAGTGAATATAGATATGAGTAAGGTGATGATGGTATCAAATGATTTAGATAAAGAAAAACTGGATATCACATTGGAGAGAGGGAGTATGGAAGAAGTGAATGTTGTCAGATATTTGGGAGTTGACTTGTCAGCGGTTAGGTTTATGAAGGACGAGGTTAACCATAGAATTAATGAAGGAAAACAGGCGAGTGGTGCGTTGAGGTATGTGTGGAGACAAAAAACGTTGGCCATGGAGGCAAACAAGGGAATGTACAAAAGTATGGTGGTACCAACACTCTTTATGTCGGGTGACTTGGTTCAAGGCCATAACTGGATCGGCTGAATTTACATCTCAGAAAATGACAGGATGCAAAAAATGAAACCTTTTCTATCCTAGGAGGCCATGTCTATGAACTTCATTCAGGTCACTTTTCTATCTAGCTGATTATTGACTGCAACTATGACAGTATCATTTAAGCTGGTTAATTCAGACTAGAATATTTTAAAAACTGTCACCTAATAAGGAGAGTAATACACTCAATAATGACCTTAAGTAGTTATGCAAACTGTATACCTGAGCGTGGAGGTGAAACATATTATATAATACTTCATATCAAGGACTATACCCTAACTTACATTTTTTATTACTAGAAGTTATAATGATTTTAGGTCAGACGTATGCCCAAATTATAAAAGCAGGGTGCATGGACGTTAAACCATACAATAAGTAATTAGGGCCGTGACTGTTCAACTTGCTCCCAGCCACATGATGCTAAATTTCCAAACAGACCCCTGGACAGCGTCATGCGCACTGGAAAAGACCTAGACCCTAGCGGCTGTACGCTCCTACTTGTGGTTTACGTGCAGATTTTACAACGCCGTGATTCAGGCTGATCCACTGTGTTGGTTCAATACCGGGCGCGGGTCTTAATGACCGCGTGTCTTAGCTCAGCTAAGATTTACGGTTATCTGGTTGAAGCTTGGGTTTGGATGCTTGAGTGATGGCTGTTATATACATTCATGATTTACATTTCTCAAATAACGAAATTATCATTCTTAGTCTATCTTCAGGTTCTAGATTGCATTGGGAAACATTTCATGACATTTTTTATTATAGCTAACATTATAATTATCATTCGATTAAAGTTTTCATTCAATATTCAATATTTATAATAGATGAGCAAACAATTATAAATGCAATGTATATATATGAAAAAGACCCTTAAGTTAGTTGAGGGCGAAGTTCGTATTCTAGACAGTTGGAAGATGAATTCCATTATTATAGCGAATAAGATCTTTCATATAAAGATTTAATACTACTAATACTAGTTGCTTTTGTTATTACATGAAGGTTATTATTTCTTGAAATATTTTAGTCAGCCGTTTATAGTCATTGATAAAGACGCTAGGGAAGCTGAGTTCAATGTACATTCGGGTGAAATTATCGTAGTGTGCTTAGCTGATGGTTGTTAGCCACCATGACTGCTTAATTATAAAGCAGAAGGTTGTAGTAACAGCAGTCATGGCGTCTATGGAAGAAGAGGAGCTAGACCCCAGGGTGCAGGTACGACCCAAGCTTGATGGGAGATTGATGATTTTTATTCATACTGCTCAGTGACTTGAAATATATTTTTTGTTGGTTAGATACGAGTTAGGCGCGTCTTAATGGGGTGTTTGAGAGCTGAGCTAAGATTTACGAGTACTCTGTGAACTTTGTGGGTTTAGCGCTTAGTTTTAGTTATAATTACTTCTCTTTAGATTAGATTTAGATTATTTCCAATCACTACTTAACGAAATATACAATAATCAGGAAGCTCATAGGATACACAGTATTTTGGGCAAAACTTAGTCAAGTTTTTAAAACTAAGTTTATTAGTTAGAGGATATAACATAATTCATTAAAGAACATTTAATTGTCTATTTATAAAAGGGTGAGCAAATCTAATTTATAAACTTGCAATACAAGAATCATAGAGCTTCACATACTGAGGGTCTGGGTTCGATTCCTGGAGGGGTGGAAGCGTTCAGCGCGTTTCCTTACACTTGTCCTGTTCACCTAGCAAGTAGGTACCTGGGTGGTAGTCGACTGGTGTGGGTCACATCCTAGGGGCAAGATTGTGGACCCCAATAGAAATAAGATGGACAGTCCCTCAATGATGCATTGCCTTTCTTGGGTTTTTCCTCCAGGGTTAAAAATCCAAACAAACTTTTATCTCTTATCTTGCTGAAAGGGGCTGGTATATCTGAAATATGAAAGGAGGCACTGGTCAGAGAAATAGCAAACATCGAAATTAAGCTTAAGGAATCATACAGGAGACAACACAGGAAGGACTTAAGCTATAAATGAAGTTAAAAAAAAAATACTTCTTTTCTTATGCCAAATCTAGGACAAAAGCAACATCCAGTCTTGGGCCCCTGCTTAAATGAGATGGGACTTCCACAGATGACAGCAAAGAAATGAGTGAGATACTGAAGTCCCAATATGACACAGTGTCCAGTGAGAAATTAACCAGACTTAGGGTTGACAGTCTAAATTCATTTTCTATGACCTAGACTCAAAATTTGGTTAATTAAAAAATTTTTGATATTATCCTAACACCACAAGACTTTGAAAAAGTAATAAATGACATGCCCATGCACTCTCCTCCAGGCCCAGACTTGTGGAACTCTGTGTTCATCAAGAACTGTAAAAAAAAACCCTTTCATGTGCCTTAAGTATTCTGTGGAGAGGGAGCATGAACACGGGTAATCCCACACTCGATAAAAACAACAGATATAGCCCCACTCCACAGGTGGCAATAAAGCAATTGCAAAGAATTGCAGACCAATAGCACTAACGTCCCAAATCATAAAAACCTTTGATAGGGTTCTAAGAAGCAATATTGCCACCCACTTAGATACCTATCAGTTACACAACCTAAGGAAGCATGAGTTTACAGCAGGTCGCTCCTGCCTATCCCAACTACTGGACTACTATAACATGGTCTTGGATGCTTTGGAGGACAAACAAAATGCAGATGTAGCATACATAGACTTTGCAAAATCTTTCAACAAGCGTGATCATGATGTAGTAGCACAGAAAATGCATGATAAAGGAACAGCAGGAAAAGTTGGTAGATGGATGTGTAACTTCCTAAGAAATAGAACACAAAGAGTAATAGTAAACAGAATAAAGTCAGAGGTGGATACAGTGGAAAGCCGTGTTCCACAAGGTACATTACTTGTTCCCATCCTGTTCCTCATCCTCATATCTAACATAGACAGAGATGTAACCCACAGCACAGTGTCCTCCTTTGCAGAAGACACTCGAATTTGCATGACAGTGTCAACCATTGAAGACACTGCAAGTCTCCAAGTGGATGTCAACCAAATCTTTAAATGGGCCACAGACAACAATGTGAAATTCAGTGAAGACAAATTTCATTTACTTCACCATGGAAAACTCGAGGAAATTAAAATTGTATTGGAGCATAAAACAAATTCCAACCACACAGTAGATCAAAAAAACTAATGTAAAGAACCTGGGAGTGATAATGTCAATGAATCTCACTTTCAGAGATCACAACAGTGTATGTACCTCATCTAGGAATATGATAAGATGGATAATGAGAACCTTCAAAACTAGGGATGCTAAGCCCATGATGATTCTCCTCAAATTGCTTGTTCTCTCTAGTCTGGAATATTGTTGTACACTAAGGGACCCTTTGAAGGCAGGTGAAATTGCAAACCTGGAGAATATGCAAAGAACTTTCATGGCACATATAAGTACACTAAAGCATCTGAATTACTGGGAATGGGTGAAGTATCTTGATTTGTACTCCCTGGAACACGGACAAGAAAGATGCATGATAATACATACTTTGAAAATCCTAGAGGGACTAGTCCCAAATCTGCCCACGAAAATCATTCTCTACAAAAGCAAAAGACTTGGCAGGAGATCCACATCCCCCTATGAAAAGCAGGGGTGTAACGAGCACGCTAAGAGACAACACAGTAAGCGTCAGGAGCCCAAGACTGTTCAACTGCCTCCCAGCATACATATGGGGGATTGCCAATAGACCCCTGGCTGTCTTCAAGAAGGCATTGGACAGGCACCTTAAGTTAATACCTGACCTGCCGGGCTGTGGTTTGCATGTTGGTTTTGTGTGGCCAGCAGTAACAGCCTGGTTGATGAGGCCCTGGTCCACCACAAGGCCTGGTCATGGACTGGGCTGTGGGGGCATTAACCCCCAGAAACTCCTTCCAGGTAATATAATCAGGGCCAGAGTTAGACATGGTGAGAACCTATTAGGCAAGGTGTTAACAGAGAATAAGATCTTGGCAAGAATGACGGGAAGATACATTAACCCATGCAGGGGAGGGTTGGGTTACTCCATTACTACTTTAAAAATGTACCTTTAAAATTAAAATTGAAATTGCAATTAAAATTCCTTATGAGACTTACAGGAGTTACAGTAAATATATGTAATTTAACCCTTTGACTGTCGCAACCCAAATCCTGAGGTGACTTCTGGTGTCGAAAAATGTTAGAGAAAAAAAAAATTCTTATGAAATGATAGACAATCTTTTCCCGGTGGTAATGACACCAAAAGAATGAAATTTGATGGGAAACTTATGGAATTATGTTCTCATGAAGTTAGCAACCTCGGCAATATTTACGAATTGGCGGTTTTGCCCACTTTGAGCCCTATTTTTGGCTAATTCCATTGTTCCAGTCGACCAGACTGATAGCTATTTCTTTAGAACTCCATTTGTTCTATCGATTGAATGCAAGAAACTGCCCATTTACCGATTTCAACTACCCAATAATGTGGTCAGAAATTTGCAATTTGGCCAATTTCACGCAAATTAAAAAATATGCCAATTTCAAAATAGGGTTCAGAATGAACAATGCAGACATTCCTGGCTCTAAAATAAAATTTTCTTTGTTGATCAGTCCCATCTCCAGGCCCCTCTGATATTAGTCTTGCTTTCTGTTTTGAATTTTTATTCAAACAAAAAATAGAAGATTTACTGTTATGCAGACTACTGCAATATTGTAATAACTGTATAAATAGTCATCCCATTCATGACTGCATATTAGAATGGCTAGTTGGACATTTATTGAACAATGACATCATTTTTTTACTTTTGAACATCGGCAAAAATCAAGCATTTCCCCTACTTTGAGCTCCATTTCAAGGTTCTTTTCATACTAAAACCAATCAAAATCACTTCTTTTTCCATAATATGTTTTCCATTCTATCAAATGAGACCAAGAAAATGAGAATACAACCATAAATACTATGTGAAAATACATCACATATATTCGGCATTTTAATCCAAAAACACGGACGGAGTTTTTTTTTCTCATTATGCACTGCGTGCTGCAGGATTTTTTTATATGGTGCACACTGACCACACAGACCCATTCTCTCACATGTGGGCCTACCAGCTTTCTCCTGCTTGATTTGAAGCCACTAGAATTTTTTAGTATATATATGTCAAACATGGTGGCTCGTAAGACGTATATATACGACCGAAACAGTCAAAGGGTTAATACATAATGTGATACAAAGGAAAGCATTGAAGAAAGCCACTTATGCAATGTATTTTAGGAGGCTAATCATAAGGTTTACGTAAATTACTGGGAAAGGTTGAAGTCCCTTGATTTGTACTCCCTGGAATGCAGGCGAGAAAGATACATGATAATATACACTTGGAAAATCCTCAAGGGAATAGTCCCAAATTTGCACACAAAAATCACTCCCTACAAAAGCAAAAGACTGGGCATGAGATGCAACATCCCCCCAATGAAAAGCAGGGGCACCACAAGTACAGGAGGCCCTCCACATTCACGAGGGTTGGGGGATCAAGAGCCCTGCGATTCTTGAAAATTTGTGAATGTTTGGTGCGCAAATATGATGTTGGGAAATATATTAATACTGTACTGTAGCGTCTGCGTATGTTTTGATGCACAAATATATTGTAGGGAAAAATAATAGCATTTACTTAGCCTAACAGTAATGCTTCCTTAACCTGTTGAACTATGAACAATCATAAAACACATGAAAACATCATAAAATATTGTATATACATGCTATGGTTTAATAACAAATAATGAACAAACAGAATGCTCACCACTCGTAAGGTTAGGCAGACGAATTCTAACGACTTTTGATGATGATGACAATGACGACGATGATGGTGATGATAGCCATGCAGTTACTGTTGACAGTTGAATGGAGGTGATTATATGGAGTGTAATTGCATGGCATGATGAGTCTAGTGTATGGATTTTAACTCTTCACTGCCAGCGTCACTACCGACATTACTAGAGTCAGAATTAGCAATGGAGTCAGATTTTGCCACAGGTTGAGGGTCAGATGAGGTGGTAGGGGTAGCAGCAGGCTTCCTTGTGAAGAACATTGTGATGGGCAACTGAGACCACGGTGGGAAGCAGTTTTCCATACTTTTTTCCCCACATTTGTTTGGTAAATATGATTGGGTGACTGGGCATTCGTGAATGTTTGAAGCTCACGAAAGTGGAGGGCTAGCTGTACACTAAGAGACAACACAGTAAGT